CGCGCCCCCGCACAAGGTTGGGGGCTTTAGCCGCGGGCCTTGTGCCGCGGCCCTTGATGGGAGCTGTAGTTCCCGCGGCGCCTCAATGGCGGCGCTGTCCCTCCCCACTCAGGGGCTGCGTGTGGGGGGACCCCCGTTGAGGCCATGTCGTGACAGCAGGCGGCTTTTGTGACAGCAGGCACTGGCGTGGGGGGGCCACAGTAGATGGGGACTGCGCTGCAAAAATACCCACTGCCCAGAGCAGACCTGAGTGTGCATCTGTGGTAGTCCCTCCGAATCATCTCCTCGCTCCGCTCCTGTGCGGCTCAGGAGCCCCGCGAGCCTGGTGGCCCCCGCTCCTTTTGGGTTTTTTTGCGGGGGAACTTCCCTGGACACCTGAATTCATCAAGCAGTTTGCCCAACCGGTAAGAGGCTCCTTCTCCTGGCCCGACCTCTTGCTGTTGCCAAGGCCTGATTCAATATGATCATTTAGGATTAAGTCATGAATCTCGTCGTTACGGCATAAGGGTTAGATAGATTTGTGTAAAATACTCTGGAGCTTCAGGGATGTGGACTGCAAGAAAGAAGAGAAACAGCAGGACCGAGAATTGGTGGTTGAGTGCCATCAATGTAATGCACAGGACCTCCTCTTTGCAAAATGGTTTCTAAGAATACAGTCTTCAAAAGTACCCTCCACTTAGTGTTCGAGTCAGCCTTCAGGAGACAGGCTCGTTAACACCGTGCTGGATGCAATCACCATGCTGATAAGCAGCCAAATTAACACAGGTAAGAAAGGATGGGGCTGAGCAAACACTGTCCTAACATGAATCCATACCAGTCAATTGATGTTTTTCCCTAGGTTGAGTGTGGGAAGGCCTGTCCTCTCTTTGTGGGGTCTATGTATTCAAATGCAAACACTAAACCTTCATCTTTCCTAGCCCGGATCCACCTTGGAGGTTTTGGATTCCAGGAGGAGGTGCCGTGGCTGCTCATTAATAAGAAGGAGCCACATTTATGTTAAGTTTGTACCTACAGCATGAAGGCTGAGTGATTAACCCCAAAAGCTACCAACTCAACTTGTTATAAAGGCCTGTTTTGTGTGAAACAGAATTGGTCCTGTAGGTATCTGTAGGTTTGGATGGAGAAATAGTTACCAGAAAACAGACCAAAGAGGAAAAGCACGTGCTGAGGAGTGTGAAGCTTTCCCGAGGACTAATAAATTCTAGAGACTGGTAGTCCTCCTGAATCTGCAAGAGCTGATAAACTCCAGGCACAAAGTGTCTGCTCAATCTGTGCAAGGCCACAAGTGGATATTGGTATCAGCCGCGGGTTGTGTGACTGTAGGGCAGGCACTGCTATATGCAGACAAACATGGCAGGATTATATGTACATCCATTGAAATAAATGACTTTGAAGGACTTTCTGAACACCTACTGCGAAGTTGCTAGCGTGTCAGCACAACCCTCTACTCAGTATACAGCTGGGGTTGTCCTCCAACTGGGTAACTGGGTGATTGTATGAGTAAACTATGAGGGAATAAGTGAATGTTGTGTGCATTATCTGCTATTAGTAGTAACAGCTTCCTAGAGTGAAAACCTTGAGTACTTCTGGCTGTCTCATCCTAAACTCCTGTTGCACAGCCAAAGACTTTTTAAGCAAATCAGGGGAATTAATCTCTTCTTTCCATCTTCTCCTAGAGTCCCTCTGTCTTCCTTTTGATTTCTGCATAGGGTCTGCTTTCTTCATTTTCCTCTACAGTCTCCCTCGCAGCTACAGTAGTCATAGATCCAAAACTGGAGGCTGGTCTGAAGAGTCCCCCAAAAGTGTAAACCTTAAGTAAGGTAAAAGCAAAAATTGCCAATACTTTTATATATCTATATTTGCCTCCACTGGCCTCACTCAGCCATCTCTACGTGGCTAATCCACCCATTATTTCTAGCACAGTTTTCTGTCTTCCCTCTCAGGTTCCAGACCAGATTTTCCTGCTTCTTTCCTGGTTGACTGAATAGAGACATCAGCGTGCTGTTCCAACACTGTTTCTGGTTGTTTCTCACAGCTCCCTGCTAGTCTCCTACACAGACAGTTGAGCTGTAGTAGTTCGCTCTGTAGCAAAGGTTATTTCGGGTGCTTTCTCTGAGGGAA